AACTGGTACAAATACGCCATTACGGTATGCGTGAATACTGAATAATTGGTGAAAAAATTTCGTACATTTTTTAAATGTACCATCAACATATAAGGTCTGAGAATCACACATAAAATTTAAATTTAAATCACATGAAAATATTATTATATGATCTAGGGGTCATTTGTTATAACAAAATATTCGTCTTTCACCGTTATCGGCTTGGTGTTATTAATATAATCATGTAGGTACTTCAGAAATTGATTTTGGAAGTTTCGGTAAATTTCGTATGCGTTCACGAGAAATGCTATTTCTAATTAATTTTGTGTCTTTACATGTTATAATGTCGACGCTGCTTCTACATTATTAGCTAACAACGCGCTATTTCAAGTTTCATTAATTTGGAAGGACGATCAGTAATATAATCAAGTCCCTTTCGTTTTATCCCGTTACTAATCTTTTGTTGAATAATAATAATGGTGTCGATACTTTCATGTAGATGTGTCCCTGATTCCCGCGAAAAATTATAATCAACGCCAATCGTGTATAATTTTGCTGAACACGTTTTTTATATGCATTTCCATCTAACTTCTCCGGATATTAATTCTGTATACTTAGAATATTTATAATTATTTTTACTAACGCACATTTCCCCGTTGACTGTATACAACACTTATTTCACTTGACATATTTAAATAAAACTTAATTTAAGCAACAATATAATCTAACAATTAAATTTTAAGCAACTACTACACAGAGAATGCTCAGAGAACTGAATTCGTCCCGTATAAGTTCCACACTAGGGAAATAAATATATTGGTTATTACCTATAATATGTTATCAATTTTATATTATATCGGTTTTATGGCATGTGGACTTTTGGTGTTAAAATATTTTTAGAATGCGGAGATACGGTGCGTTCGTGTTTTCGGCCGTGCGGAGATACGGTGCATTCGGAGTTACGGATTCACAAAATATTTTTATTCATGCGGAGCTGCGGTGCGTCCAAATTTTCAACATTAGGTACCTATTGAAGGCGATTTCATATGGGCAATTTTCCTATTTGGTTTGTAGGGGATGGAGTCAAAAGGAATAATCGTATAAAATTTAGTTTATCACTGAATATTTATATAAGACATGTTATAATTTGATTTGAAAATAATATCTTAGCCCTTTTTAAGCTGTTTGAAAAGTTCTACATTTTTATTTAAATTTATGCTGATACAATTGTTTTCTCTCTGTTAGAAAATTTAAATATATAATGCAAGTTCTTCATGAGTTGGCAAGATATTCTTATAGCATTTTAAAAATATCGAAAAAACATAATAATAGTCACAATTTTTTTTTTATCAACGTATGGCAAACAAAATTGGATTATTTAATAAAAAATAATAATTTTTCCTCTATAAGATCTTAGTTTTTTTTTGTAATTAAAAAATTGTAATCGTATAGACTTGAAACTTTTCCCGTTATACCTATACTACATAACATTATTTGGGAATATTTTGGCCATCTTCCAATATACGGCCTCCTAAAAAATATATTATCTACAATACAAATTGTATTAAATTCAGTGATTTTACATGAAATAAAATATTACTAAAATAAGAACATTTTTATAATTATTATTTATAATTATAACTGTGTATTTTTCAGTTAAGAATATACAATACATTTATTTTACAATCTGCTACAATCTATGATGGACTGCCCTTCGAGCTGCCTTCAGACTTTTCTCACGAAGAAGTATTACTATCTCTGAATTCGTTAAGTAACACCACCTCAAACGGCCCTGATGAAATATCTGTTCGTTGCCTGTTAAACTGCCGCCATGCCATAATGTTTCCTCTTTTTTTGCTATTTCGACGTTCTTTGAGTGAAGGCGGTGTTTTTCCTGGTGTTTGGAAAATTAGCTTCGTTTCTACTATTTATAAGTTGGGTGATCCCTCAGATGTCAAAAACTATCGCCCTATTTCAATCATCCCTCATATCGCAAAAATATTCAAATTACTTGTATACAATAGGGTCGAACGCAGTCCAAACCATATCATTGTTGATGAAAAGCATGGGTTCAGGTCTGGGAAGTCCATTATAACTAGTAGTGTTGAATTCATCACTGAATGCCTTGAGCAAAGAAATCAAGCTGATGTCATATTCATAGATTTTAGAAAAGCATTCGACATGGTTGATCATGGTCTTATTATAAACGAACTACTGGCACTTGGCATCGGGAAACCACTCCTTTCTTGGTTAAAATCTTATCTAACCAAAAGGAAGTAATTTGTTAAGATTTATGACTCATTTTCTGAATAAACAGATGTACCTCTCGGGGGTACCCCAAGGAGGTCACCTAAGCGGCTAAGCCCTTTACTATTCATCCTATTCATTAACTCTATTAATAAGTGGATTACCAAAGCCAAGTTCCTCTTATTTGCTGACGAAATAAAAATCTACCTAAAAATTGATTCTCCTGAAAGTTGTCTCATTCTCCAATCTGAATTTCATACCTTCTTCACCTGGGTCCAACGCCTTGGTTTGTCACTCAACCTTGAAAAGTGTCATATAATGTCATTTACTAGAAGTCGTTCTCCCATTTTCCATCCATATCGCCTCGGTAACGTCCTTATTGAACGGGTGTTTGTTTTTAAGGACCTCAGGATTTTCTATTCCCCCTCTTTAAGTTTCGAGCAACATATCAATGAAATTGTCCCTAAAGCCCTTAAGATCCTAAGATTTATTAGACGAGTCTCAAAGACGTTCTCCTCTGCAATTTGTCTCCGCTCACTTTATTTTTGCCTGGTACGCTCTAAGTTAGAGCATGGTGTTGAAGTTTGGCACCCATACCTAGCCAAAGACCAACTTGGATTGGAAAGGGTCCAAAATAAGTTCTTTTCCCTTAGAGCTTTCTTATTGAAAATTAACCACCCCGCACATGACTACTAGCTTGTTCGTCAAGCGTTAGATATACAAACACTGTCGACCCGTCGATTAACTGCTGGCGTTAATTTTGTTTCTTCCCTCCTTAATGGCACCCTTAATGCACCTACTCTTCTATCTAGTATCCAGTTTCGTGTTCCATCCTATCCTACCAGAGATCATACTCCTCTTTACGTTCCATCCCACTTTCTTCTTATGGTTACAATCACCCTATGCATCGTATGCTTCGAGATTTTAATATGCCTTGTAATTGCTGCTAATTCTTGGGTCACTATTTATATATATATATTTAAAATTCTTTTTCATCTGTGGACATTTTAATTCCAAGCAATTTCTGTAATTACTATATAAGTATAAACTGTATATATCCTTACCTACATTATTTATCTAATTGCCCAATTTGGCGTAAGTTAATTAAAATAAAAATAAATAAAATAAAAAACTACTGTCAATGCAAAATAATATATACATTATACATATATCGGATCTTTATAATAGGTATACATATTATATATGTCGGTATATAGTAATATATAAGCCAATCGCCTTGTTGATTAAGCCAAGTTATTAATTTACAACTATATATAGTGCCTCTAACTACTTATAAAATGATTCAAAACATAAAATATTATACTAGGCACCAGGTACCTAATCAAATCATACTAAACTTAAACAGCTAAGTCTATGTAAAAAAATAAAGCGAGGTATTGACATTTAATTGAAGTAAATATAGATATGTAGGTAGATATTTATCATACGTATTATATACTAGTAGACGAAGCATATAAGGGACGTCGGAGTCAGCTAGTGCGGTCCTTGGAATTTGCATACGGGGATATCATAATATATAATAATTATATATATATATATATATATTATATACAGTTAAACACAGTTATCAACTAGGGCACATACGCCTGCGCCTTGTAATTCGGTAACACCCGAACAGCGCAGTCACGTCGGACTCTCGAAACTACATCCATACTCCGTCTACTAGTATAAGGTCTATGGTGGTACTTATACTATTAATTAAAAACTTTTATTGTCTATAATAAGATAGGAACTAAGTGACAGGTCACAGGTGTACCAAAATCATTTTAAGTAGGTATTTAAATAATGAAATTTGCAATTTATAGTAACAGCCAACAGGTAGGTTACCTATATAATATATATTTTAATACTTTTTGACTCAATTGTGTTATCTTATATTATAAAATTAGCCAAATCATATGATATGATACCAATATACCACGTTATTATGGTTTTGGTTTATTTTATACCCAAAGTATACTTTTAATTATTTGATCTACTTATAAGTTATATTATATAAATATAAATAACAAATGTACCATTTTCTAACTAAAAACGTACACCAAAAAGTAGTTTCAACAAGATATAATAATAAGATATATAATTTATATTAAAATAGTAAAAAAGTAAAAGTGAAATTATTTTCGTTATATTTAAGAATATAATTTGCTAACATTGTTAATACGCTTTTAAACTGCACTCTAAGTGAAGTACCTATACTTTGGTCGCATAAAAGAAGAAGAAAATATCACATATTATAGTGATAACATATTATATGAATTTTAGTATGATGCAACAGGGCACACCCTATGACTTAAGAATTTGTATTAGATTTTTTATTTATTTAATGTCAATTAACCTACTCATATTAAAAAATAGGTAGGCATACATATTATTTTTGCGATCGGTTTTTGTATTAAATATTAATATTGATTAAAGGTATTTATTTGCATCCGAAATAACATAGTATGAAACAACGTCACTGAACTTACAGAAAGACTGAAGCATAGATGAAATGTATTAGTAATAAGTAATGACTAATGAGCAACGTATCTAATCTTATTAGCATTACAATAAATATACTTGAGATTACAGATAAATCTACATATTTAACTCAGCCGTGTACATGTTTTCGTGCTTACGAAATTCTGAATAGGTATGTCATTATTGCAGTGACAGTGATTAGGTAGGCATTTGTTGACTGTTGTTCATAAGTGAAGCTCAAAGTTGTGTAAACAATTTTAGTAAATTGTATTTCAAGAAGAACTATAAAAATGATGGGTAAGTAATTCTATCGTGTGCAATATGATTTTTTTTTTTGTCGATATCATACATAACGTGTTCTTTTTACTTGGTAACTACTTAAAAAAAAGCATCATTACATTCACCAAATATTTTTAATGTAATATGGTAACTATTTCTATATTCTATTATCTATAGGGCTATAGTCTATACTATAGACTCTATAGACTATAAGCATACTTGTTAAATATTTAAATACTTTTTCTGTATTTTAAATACATTTTAAATATTTTTAGACAGAAGTATTTCAAGTATATTTCAAATACATATTATTATATTTTGTAATGAAAAATATTAAATACAAAATTTTCAAACAAGATATTTACTATTTAGTTTGGTTTATCGATTATGAAGAAATTGCTTATCGTTGATGAAAAGACACGACGGTTATAAATGTTGTTATTGACAAACAAAGATATGATTCTAAATTCATATTTTTTATTACTAGGTAATTGTAACAATTGTCCTGTGTGCCATTCTCAGTCCTAAGATATATAATTGTACAAATTCAGTCAAATTGTATAAAAATTAAAAATAAAGATCAAATAAAAAATTACCTAGTACCATCTATATTTATTATTTTTACCTAAATGTTCTAAAATTTATAAAATAAACATAGTAATGTCAAGTCTATTAGAGAATTACTAGCTCCTGCTACTACTGTTTCAATAGATGTTAAAGAAAAGTCAAACACTGAAATTCAATTTAACAAATAATTAGTCTTAAGAATTAAGAATCAGAAAATAATAAGCTTAAAAAACTGTATTTAAAAATATTTAAAATACTTTTTGAATATATTTGTATTTGTATTTAAATATTTATTAGCAAAGGTATTTAAATACCTATTTGAAATACTTTATTTGATTAGTATTTTTAACAACATTGTCTATAAGTGGCTATTACTCGTACAATGATAATATAAGATATCAAATATAAAATATAAATATATAATACTAATTACTATATTATATAATAGTTACTACCCTGCTAAAAAAAACTCAGGAATTCGAAAAAACAATTAAAATGAGATAATCCTCCTCTCTGTATAATATTAAAAGTTGTACACGTTTTTCTTAAGTAAAAATGCCTTAACTATGGCTCTATTTATCCAGAAGCTTGTTCTTATAAGAAAACGATATTGCCGTATTAGGAATTAAATATAATTAATGCTTAGCAAAAACGCCATAATCACAATTTTATTTGGCATTTGCTAAGAAAGATTGCCGTGTGTCTTAATTCATGTGAGGCGATTTTACTTCGCAATTATTAGGTACTCATAAATCATAATCTATATTTACGGCATTGTTGAGTTTAGGAAATTGGTCGTAATTATGCCGCATCTACTAACTACTGAGTGATAATGTTTAGGATTTCACTATCATGTTACACCACACATATATTTGGTTCAGTTTTCTGTAATATTTTTCATGAATAAATACCATTGATTATAAACACTAGTATTTATAATACGTAGTTTTAATTTTAATTTTTGCTAATTTTGAAAATGAGTACCAAATTAATTTGTAAATAACCCATACGTAATTATTACGGCATTTTTATTAAGTAAAAAATTGGAAATAATTTATTGATAGCGTACTTAGTATAAAATATAAATATAAAAATCAGAACATATCGGTGAAATAAAAGTTGAAAATGCAATTGAACAGTTCCATTGCATTCATGATTCATCAGCAAGGCCGTATCCAGACATTTTTTTTTGGGGGGTATTCCAAAACATGATCATTGTAATTTTATTCAATTTAGGTTTTGATATTTTGTTAAAAATAAGATATTGGAAAAAATTCGGGGGCGTCAGACCCCTTGGACCCTTCCCCTCAGATACTACAGTACTTACACGATCACACATGCATGATTATATATTACATTATTATGTAGAATAAATTTATTTTTAATCAATATTTTAAAGAAATATGTTACAGTAATATAGAAATTATTAAATTGTATACAAAATTTGAATTTTTATCTCCTAAACATTTACCAAAATTTGGTAAACGTGTCTTAGTAGTTAGTAGAATATTAGATATTCATAATAGTTTTCAAAATTTTTTCTGACATTTATTATTGTCTAGTACTTTAGTGTAGTAATTTACACAGACTACAAAGCAATGGGCAATAGTCAACCCAACTTGAAAGCACATCCTCTTTTTTAATTGATTCAACTGTATCTATATTTTTTTTTAGGATTTACAATATAGATTTTCAAAATCATATTTTGACGATTTTCGATTTTGATAACCAATGATTTTACCAATGTCCGGTATGTATAAATTCTAAATGGATTATTTGTGAATGACTGTACGTACTTAGTTTCTATGGTATAATTTTGTTATATATAATAATTAAGGCTCGGTAATTATTTTTTAAAAACATAATGAAGGAGTAAAATTATTTAAAGCAAATTTAGGGCAAGACCCCGTTGGCCCAAAAATAACCTTTCGCTTTTCGCCCACGTCTCTTTTCGCCCAAATATTTTAAAACTACTTTCCCTTTTTGCCCAAGAATATTATATAGCACTTTTCAGCCACATTTTTAAAATACACACTTGGCAAAACACTTACTTTAAATTATTTATATCTAACATAATAATACATTTTTATAAAGCCATTTAGCATTACCCAGAGAGTACCACGAGGAGGCGGCTTCTATTGCTCTCCAAAAATGTATTGTATTTGTACACATTAATATAATTTTTATATAATATAAGTAATTTGTTATCAAAAATAAAAATCGTCAAAATATTATTACCTATTTGTTAGTATTGTAGTATTAGATAGAATAGTTAAATGACATTGATTTAATAAAATCATACCGATTAATTGTTCCTGCTTTATATTGCTGTATTTTTTCCTCATTTTGTCCCTGTCGATCTATAATTTTTTTTATCTTTGGGACACCTTTGTAAATGAATACTATTTAATTTTATGAAGACCTCGGTTTGAATTTCATTTATAACACTTAACCAGGCACTTATTGGTGGAGATTCACACGCGTTGGTTGTTCTTATTAATTCCGACGTATTAGATGCCCAAATACTCGGTGGAAATAAACAGTCTTCGGATATGTAAGTATCGGTTAAATAGTCACAGTAATTTGTTAATTTGTCATTTACTGGACAGTTAGATAGCAGGTCTTCAACGAAACAATTTGATACTTCATCTGGATTTAAAAATACCAAACCAAATGTATACCGTATCCACTTTCCAATTTCTGAAGATTCGTCTTTATAGAAAGAAGTTAAACCACACTTTTGAACAGATATTATAAAGATAAGATTAAAATATTGAGCGGCCCATTGTAGATATATGATGTAGATATAGTGTTTCCCAAAGTGTGTATTATAAAAATGAGGCTGAAAAGTGCTATATAATATTCGTGGGCAAAAAGGGAAAGTAGTTTTAAAATATTTGGGCGAAAAGAGTACCTCCCGCAAATTTAAACTATCTATATATTTATATTAAATACCTATAGGTATTTATGTATATTATGTGCCTACTAAAACAACTGTGTTATTGATATATTTATATAATTATTGTGTGAAATATTTAAATATAATAAAATATATTGGATTAAAATATAAATGGTTAATTGTAATTTAAATTTAAATAGTACTTGGATCTATAAGAAAAAATATAATATAATTTTATATCAATATTTGATAAGTATAATATTCTTTATATTCACTCTTCACACAGGTGGTTACGGATGGGTTCCGATAGATCAACCGCACACGCTGTTGTGGGTGCCGTGCAATTCTGGCGATCCGTTGCCCAGAGGAGCTGTGCACGCGGGCACGGACAAGGGCGGCGACCCCTTGTACGCGGGTCGGGCTTTTTACGAAGGTGACTTGCTGCCAGCAAAAATAAACCCGAGTCATTCGTCAGCATACGTGTGCTGGGGAGGCATGGAGCACGCCTTGAGCCACTTCGAGGTCAGATCAATTACTGTTAATTTTGATAATCGTTTAAAACCCGTGTTGAAAATAATATTATATATACATAGGTAATATAATGTGTCATGTATGTGTGTATATAGGGTGATTATTTTTAACACACATTATTTTGTCAATCAATTTTAAGTTTTGAGAATGTGATGAATACAATTTAAATTAGGTAGCCATGTAGGTATCTAATATTATATTTAAATATTTGTAATTTTACTACCTTCAACCTTTTAGATTCTGAGCGGAGCGATGAATGTATTGGTTTACAATGATGTATGTTTTTTTTTATATTTTTATATTTTTATTTATATTTTTGTGTCTGTCATCACGTTTTGGGACAGTAAAAGTGCTTCGATTTTCTTCAATAGTACCTTTTCTGATAGGAAAGTGAATCTAGTTGGTACTTTGGGGGGTCAAAAGTAAACATTTCCAGTAGTTTTCACAAGCGCCGGGAAAAACAACATAAAAATTAAGGAAAAACGGGAATTTTTACGCAAATCGATTTTCCAAAAAATCGAATTTGGTTTTTGGTGTAACTTTAAAACAAATGACCGTAGATACATGAAATTTTCACTGGTTGTTTATATTTGCATTTTCTATACACGATAACATTTTCAAAATATTTTGATTTATTTGGAACTGTTTAGGGACATTTTCATTTTTCATTTTTTTTTAGTTTTTTTCTAGAAATATCAATAAAATTTTATTTGTTGGTTGCGAAAGCTTGAAAATTTAATAGAAGGCTCCTAATATGTTGTTTCAAAGGCAGATGAAAAATATTAAAAATCCTTAGTCACAATTTTTTTTATAAGCATTTAAAGTTCAAAAATTGACAAAATATGGAAAAATCACGAAAATTAGCAAATTATTTTGAGTTAAGAATTCGTAAAAATTTTCTTTTTAAATCTAAGATTTGAAAATGAAACACAAGATTCCTTATAAGATTGTCTACCTTTATCAATAAAAAAATCTCTACCGGACAGTCAAATTAAATTTTTATGAGCGTTTGAAATTCAAATTTTTACAACATTGGATTTTCACTCGATTTCTCATGTAGCGATTTCCTTATTTTGTTGTAATTCAAAACGAATAACTGTAGATACATGAAAATTTCACTGAATGTTTATATTAGCATTTCCTATACACCATACAATTTTGAAAAGATTTTGACTCTTTTTGAGCTGGTTACGGACATTTTCAGTTTTCAATTTTTTTAGTTTTTTTTTTTATAATTGTCAATAAAATTTTATTTGGTGGGCCAAAAAGTCTGAAAATTGAATACAAGCTTCCTATATATTGTTACAATATCAGTTGAAAAATTTTAAAAATACATAGGCACGATTTTTTTTTATAAGCATTTAAAGTTGGAATTTTGACAAAATTTATCAAATCTCGAAAATTATCAATCGTTGGAATTAAAAAATTATAAAATGTTCAGTTTTTATAGCTAAGGATTACAAATCAACACAAAGGTTCTCATAAACAGTTCATACTATAACCAAAAAATCTAAAAAATATATGAACACACTTATTTTTTACAGACATTTTAAATTCAAATTTGGACGAAATTACATATTAAAAAACCTAGAATAACTATTTTAGTTATTTTGTTGTGATTGAATAATATTATTCGTGGGTACTTGAAACTTCTAAAGTGTACTATTATATATCTATAATAGTATCACGGTTTTTGTTGATGTATAACGCGTTATAAGTATCTAATGGATATTGTGATATGATTAATTTGGAATTTATTATAGGTACCTATTATAGGTCAATTTTTTGTTTAATACCATAAATATGTATATAATATGTCTGATACATAGACTGACATACCGTCACCGCTCAGAATCGTTTTTCTTATACAATGATATTATATCATTGAATTCAAATTTAAAAGCATCCATTATACAGTGACCCACTTGTAACCTACTGTACAGCAGAGCGACATCCACTTACCCACCTTTTTTTATTTTTATAACATATGATATTAATTTCCTATCTTACAATACAGTTGGTAAAATTATAAATATCAAACGAAAAGTTTTTTTCATTTATAGGCACTTTTTTAGTTTAGTTTTAATTTTATAATTTATATGAAGTGGTTATAAAAATAAGCTATTCCAATATATATTTTAACAAAAAAATCCTTTGTTCAGAACATAAATATATTTACACAGTAGGTTGTCAAAAAAGTAAAATACTTATACCTTGAATAGCATTACCTATTGCCTATATAAAAATTAGATTACTTTGTAGAAATAAAGTTGTATAATATTAATATACCTACAGGCTACAATAGGTACTTCAAAAGTTCAAACAATATAAAATGTGTTTTTAAAAAACCCTAAATTAATTCATATTCGAGATTAATTATCAGCAGTCTGTGTTCAAATAATTTATTATCCTGTATATTATCGTATAGTATACTATAACGAAAAGGAAACTGCAAAACGTCCACTTGTTAGGAGGGACTGTACGAATGCTCGATGCCACGAGTTATTTCAATTTATATTTATTATTAAGATGGACGTAAAATTTTAGATTTGTATGTTGTATTTACGTACCTACCTACTATCTATTATCATTACTGTGTCTAGTGACTAGTACTCTAGTAGGTACCTACTACCTATGTGTTATGTACTTATGTGTATTATATTATACAATACACGCGGCTTACAATATAATATCGTATATCATATTATACATAATATAATATACATTGTGGTATTTAGAGTTAGACCTTATTGTAATCCCCATTACCCTCTAGATTAAATGAAAGATTTAGATGACATGTAGGCTGTAGTACATTATCATGTTTAATATTAAAATAAATATAATATAGGTACCAACATTTTTCTGTTATGTACATTATTTTTCGTTCTATTAAATGAAAGAAAAAAATGTATAGGTATCTACGTATATTAGGATTGTTTTAATGGTTCTCCTTATCTATTAAACAATATTTATAGGTAGTACATTGTAAGGTTCCAATCGTTGGATAGCTTCCCTATAGTCTATAGTCTATACTCTCGGCCCTCCAAGCCTTGTACTTTTTTGAACCTATTTGTTTACTGTCGGTACCTATGTTAATTGTTTTGTACAGATAAATGTTATATTTTAATTTTTTTCAAAAAAAGGTAATAAAAACTCTACACAAGTAATGTTATTAATTATTATTGCAACGTCTTAATAAGCTGCCGACCTACTTTTCGGTGAACTGCATTTATTCTGCTATTCAATTTTAGAAAAATTTGCACATTTCGATTTGTATTTACTTGCCGAAGAGTATTTTTTTAAGAAGTTAGTACTTAGTAAGTAAATCTTTTCAACTGGTTTTTAAAAATCATTACCTAGCTGCATATTATAATAAATTATAGTTCATTGTGCCATTGTACATTGCAAGATGACCTTCATTCCATTTGGTATGAGATATGCAACCAATATGTACACTAATAGTTTTCAAAACTCATCAAATTTCATAAAAACGAGCTTGATGAAAGTATTATTGATTGGGACAAACACGATCTATGAAATGATATAATATTATTATTTTAATTAGTTTTTTCACCACTTCCACCGTTTTAACTCTGTTTAGTAGGATAATATATTTTAAACTTCAGTGTTATGAGATAAAAATATTTTTTACCTTATTGATTTAAAAGTTTTTGATTTATTTTTTCACAGGTTTTATGTCATGCAAACGTGGCGTGGCAAACCGCTCAAGGAAACCATATTCCGCCAAACGCTATTGTCATAGGTTCTACCGTTGACGGGGAAAAACTTTACATGGGCCGTACGCTTCATGACGGAACATTAACTCCTGGAAAAGTAATATTTTACTTATAAACTTTAAGCAACTAATTTTATAACAGTTATACTAATATGTTAGGTTTAAGTTTATGTTTATTTTCGACTATCTCTTAATAAATAATAAAATTGTTTAGGTATTCAATTTTATTGTTTTGACATTGTGACTTACACTGAAACGCTATGAACATTTTTAATTCGAGTGTATATTATAATTTATAATATATACTATTGTTTGTAATTTGTATTTAAATAGTAGTGATTTAGCTAAACCAATAATTATAAATATATATTTTATATCTAATCAATGCCTAAACTGTTCTATAGATTTCTACGTACTTTTCCGTCGTCATTTTATTTAAAACAATATTTTGATATTGTTTTATTGTTTGTTTATATTTAGATACATCCCAGTCATGGAACACTTTATATTCCATATAACGGAGAAGAAGTATCCGTCACTGAGTATGAAATCATGATATACCGACCACCTATGACCTTTAATTAAAAGCCATAAACACAGCAATAAAATATTATGTAATAATCTAATATAAAATATATTATTCATTGTTTAAAAAATATATAATTACATTCATTATTAAATAGATAGCTCAATCAATTATATATAAGAAAATATTATATAATATATTAATATGTGTATAGTTTAAAATAGTTTTATTATAGTAGAATAGTAGATTGTAGATACATCACTATATATAGTCACTACATTCTTATTTCTAACTAATTATATAATATAATGACATTTATGTACCTACTTACTATAGTTATAGTACCTACTATAGTAACTATAACTACGACTATATGACTTCCTAAGTAATACGCCTTTTTGTGTTTTAAAATGCTCATATTTTTTAATACTAATTAATTATCATTTATTACAAACATTTTATCCTATCGGTGATTACAAAATATATTTATAAATTTTTTAATTTCTTTGACTTTATTTTTAATGATTCTAGAGTCTAGACTCTAGACCAGAGGTTCCCAACCTTTTTTGACTCGCGGCACCCTTGGACATTTTCTAAAAATCCGGAGGCACCCTATGCTCTATAGTCTATAGTCTATACTATAGAGTACTTCGGTTCTATTTATTAGTGCATAAGTATAATCAAAAGTAGTAAGGTGTATGTGCATACTATATACATACCTATTACATTTTATAAACAAATTATTACATTGTATTTATTTTTAATGAAATTGTTTTTTCTAAAAAAATATTTCAAATAATTTCGCGGCACCCTAAAAAAATTTCGTGGCACCCTGGTTGGGAATCTCTGCTCTAGACTGATGAGTGATGATTTTTTAATAGAAATTATAAAAATGTTATTTCATATTTATTAAGTGCTACAGTCATTCCTAATGGAATATAATTTATAAGTAATTAGTTGATATAGTTTAATTATGTGGGTATGTCATAAATGTCTGTATAAATAGACCGTGTGCGTTAACGAAAAAGCCTAGATATTCTGATTATATTATGTTATTATGGTTTATTTTAATAAAAAAAAAACCATAAATGATCTTCAATCATGTTATTCAGGTATTAAAATAATTATAAGGGGGGTGAAGGGGGGTGGAGACGGTGGAGTGGCCGAGCGGACTAAGTTTAGGCGTCGGTTGCAATGCGCACCGTCGCCGGTTCGAATCTCGGCGGCACTTCTCTCGGGACAGACTGGAGAGAGAGGTCGCTTTCCCCCGACCGGACATGGCAGATACCAACGGGTGCCCAAATCAAAAATTCTGCCAAAAAACAAACACACACGTGTAAAAAAATCTACAGTAACCTCCCCCACAGTACCACAGGCTAATGACCTTAGTAGTTGAAGCATTAACCATAATAAAAAAAATTAAAAATTATTATTTATACTTATAATATTTCCATATAGGTTAACTATAAATTATAATATTATGTAATAACTAATAAGTATACTATAGTGTAGGACGTAGGTACTAAATTATAGTTTAAACTTTAAATGGTCGTTATTATAGTAAACGACGACTGTTGTTCTTGGTCTTGACTTTATGGTTTTTGTTGTAACCTACAGATGTCGTTGTACGATTGTAGGTACCAGCAGGCGCAGCAGCAGGCTAGTATGAGCGTTGTACATGGGCGACAATTGATTATATTTATATATATTATAATTTATAATATATATAGTAGATTATACACAACTATTCCGTGTGAAAAATAAAAAAGCTTTTTCTCAACCCGTGACTAGGGGAAATAGTGCTTTTATAGTCATTTTTAAGCTCAAAATTTAGTGCGTTTGTTCTGTTCATTAAACATGTATAAAATTCCATTAAACCTCATGGATTTTGCACCTATATTAACGATACACAATCCAATATATTTACAATTTACTAGTAAAACTAAAGTAAACAAAATCTATAGGTATAATACTATAATAATATAATCCATAATGCTTATAAGTTATATGACATTTTTGTAATACGTTTATTATTATTATTATTTATATCTCTACTCTCATAATAAACATTATACAGAATAATTCACCAAGCATACTAACCCCCTTTTTTTCTTCAATAATGCAGTTATTCAAAATCTGATTATTGTAAATTTTAAATATACGTATATAACGACCATATTTTCAAATTCTTGAGATTTCTTTATATTATATTACTTAAGGAGTGTCCTGTACTCCTGTAGATGTTTAGGTAAACTTCTATTTTTAAAATGAGAATACCCCTTTTCTACTGTTAATTATTTATATGACAATTTTACAATAAATAATGAAGTATCAACATCAAAATTCGAAAGAGTATTGTTTTTGAGTTATTTAACTTTGAGTTAAATTTGATTATAGTGATGATGGGTTAGAAATATATAGGGGCTTTGATGTTTTGAAAATGTTGGTGATTAACATTAATTTATCAACATTAATAATTTATAAAAATGGTCGAAGTATGATACATAGGTACTAGATCCAATATTACATCTACTTGATATTTTTATAAAACCATTTTTAAGGATTATAGTCCTTATAGTATAAATATTTAGAATACTTAGAAATTACTTAAAATTTTGAATTAGGTACCTACATCAACATTTTCATAAAAATATTTACTAAATAAATTTCATTAAAAAAGGGGACGGGGGCACATTTGAAACACTGAAGTTTGTTTCGCCACAGGATAACCTAACATCCTTAAGTAGTACAGAAAAAATCTCAATAATTAGAAAATTTGGTCTTTGAATATCTATATTTAGAAATTTCAAAAATTTGAATTTGAATAAATTCATTAAAGGAATCAGTGTTGTTGCATTTCCAGGCATCAATTTTTGAACATATTCGAAAACTTTAATCGTAGTTGGTAGTTCGTATGTGGATTCAAAACTTGTTTTTAGTATAAACTACGGCGGAGAAAGATTTTTCTCATAAATATGTTGTGGGGAACGGAGTTAAAACTTTTACAAATTTAGTCGATAGCGCCACGAACACCCAATACTAGAGTGTCATTGACCATAGTTTATACTATAAGGCACTAAACCTTAAATAAAAACATACACTACTGTAATGTACGAAATGGAGGTCATGGAAATCAGCATTTTCCCGTCTTTTTTAAAATAATATTTTGAATCCTAATTCTTAATCATTTCCAGCCACAAGAGATCAAGTTATAATTATATACATTATTACACATAATAAAACACATCATCTTAGAGCGACCAGTTGCACCGTAAATACATGAAATTATTAATACAATGCAGTCGAATCAAATTGCGTCGAGGCGCACGTCAACCACACACACAAACAGACACATATAGACACACTCTCACCCAGTGTTATCGATCGGGGGCGCGCTCGTGCTACCGAGACGACGGATACTAGTACCTAGGTACTACACAACCCGCGACGGCGTGTTCGGGCGTGTTTGTGCTTGTTTTTTTTCTTGAAAACCAAAACTCGAGGGAGAGACTATAGCAATAGCCAATATGAAACAACAGTCGTAACTATACAACTACGACGGCGACAACGGTACCTATATATTATTATATATTAGGTGCGTCCCTGCGATATATCGTGTTTGTAATAAGAAAATTAGGTATATTATTATAAATTATAACACTCTTGTCGCAATAGATATTATAGATATTAAAATCTGCTAATGACGTGATAATAATACCACCCACTTCTCCCCATCATGTGTCGTGCCACTATATTCAAGGATACTCGTGTATAATACGCACATAGATCGGTGTAATCGAGAGAAGATCGCGCGTAAGACGACCACGGAAAACCTATCGACCATGAATTGGGTACGATTGTTTACCCGGCCTATCGCAACGACAACGAGGGTGACGGATACCGTGTCGGCGGTTGTGGCGGCCGGTCGAACGCGATGAGTCACCATCTAACCGGAAGCGGCCGCGGACCCGCGAATACGGACGCGGCGGACACGGCTGAATAACCGATGGACGAGGAAATGGAGAAGCCAAGTGAGTTAAATGACATTAATTCGGTGGGGCGATCAGATCTATATACTTGTATACTATATTATGTGTACTCGTGCAGAAATATAAGGATAAATTACGAGTGTTCATAGCGCACGCAGCGATGCAATTCATATATATATATATTTTATAATTTAGGTACTGTTCATAATATGCAATATAGGGGTGGGAAAATTGTTTAAATTAATATGTATGTGTATTATATTTAGTAGTCTGCAGTGCAAGTTGATGTACGTGTACTTACGTGTTAAATCGTTAACAACCGATCGAAAATTGACCTTATAACCGAGTTTTTACATGTATATTGTATACCTACTAGAAAGTCATACCTAAATAGGTATATTATAAATTATTATGTACAATATTACCTATGTACATTGTATATTATACTACACTGCAGTGTAATTGTATAAGTACTGTCAACATTAAACACGTTTCACACGCCTTATCGCAGTGATATCTGCAGTGGCAGGCAGCAGTATATGTATATCGTATATGTGTAGAACCACTAGAACCACACAGGTTGTATTTTATATTTTTTATTATATATGTATACACGTAACACGTGATGCCAACGTCACAACCAGTTTTTCATCAAAAACACTCAACGCCTATTTTGCTACATCGGAAGTACAAATAACGTAGGAACATGAATAAATGATAAAATGACGCATCTGATCATTCTAGTTTTGTCGATTCTGTAATTACGAAATGTTGTCCAGTGTCTTAATTTTAACACTTATGAAAAACATATATTTTATACTTTATGACCCCTATAGATTTTATAGATGTAAGTTGTGACATTTTCACCATTGCATAGCGACCAATAAAAACAATCAGTCATTACTCATTAGTCATTAGGCATCTTTCTGGTCTTTTCACCCCTCAAAAAAGAACGTGTGTAATGCAAAATCAATAAAAACGCAAAAATTTTATACTATGGACCACGAATGCTTTTAAGTTTTGGCTTGACACTGTCGAATGTTTACAATTTTAAAATGTAATTAAGTATT